CCGCGACGGCGGGAGCGGCGGAGTGTCCGCCTCGCTCTGCTGGGACCAGGGCCGGCGAGGGAGCGCAGGCCGCCGCCCAGCGGGAGGCCCAACTTCGCACTCTCGTTGGAACAGAGTTCCTACGTCTAGAGTACAAGCGACCCGGATTCTGTGGACGCGTGCCCTGTGTTTGTCAGAAACTGTCAACTGACTGGTCATCCTTCGGACCTCAGGGATTCGGCCTTGCCACCTGGTTTCTTCTGGAGTCCGGCGGGCTCCATTTATGGAGCAAGGGAATGCTTGCGAGGTGGCCCAGACCTCCAGGCTGCGGTTACGTTAGCCTTTGCTTCCTTTCTAGATGGGGAATCATTTATGCCCAAATGCCTTTCCAAATTCCCAGACCTGGTGTCTGTTGTGATGGCACAGTATCTCAGATTTGGTGATGCGTTGTTTCCCCTCTCCCCCATCCTGATAACTTTTATAAGTGGAAATGGAGAAAGCTGACAAACGACCTGCATGGTAGCCGAGAAACCACCCTCAGACCCAGACAACCGCTAATCTGCTTCCTGGCACAACATTTGTGTCAAACAGTTTTACTTAGTTGTGGTTTATATGCCATAAAATCTATCCATTTTAGGTGTACAATTCAACGATTTTTAGTAAATTTACAGAGTTTTTACAACCATCACCATAACTCAATTTTAGAACATTTTCATCATCCCCAAAATGATTCCTCCTGGCTATTGACAGTCAATCCCTTTTTCCGCCCCTAGACATAGGCAACCACTAACGTACTTCCTGTCTCTTTTGATTTGTCTTTTATGGACGTTTCATATGAGTGAAATCATGCACCATGGGGCTCCTTTCACTGAGCACAATCATNCATGGTTGTTTCCTCAAAGATTCATTTTAATTATTTTGTTTTGAAACATTTAAAGAGAAGTTAGTCTTTATTTATTTTTTCTTTTCAGAGAGGCCAACCAAGGAGTGTGGAGGAGGGAGATGAGATTTCTCACTCTGTGTACCTGACGCTCAATATAAGTATATTGAAGAAAAATATCTGGATTTCAGAGGCAATTGCTTCTGCTTTGGAAATACCTGAAGAGAGGAAAGTCAAATCTGGATGCATTTGACTTAAAAAGACAAATTGTTCAAATTATAGAGTTTTGCATTCAATTGCGTGACATTTCAGGGTATTGGACTCCTAGGATGTTTGGTTAGTTTATTCTACTTTAATTAAGAGTATTTGATATTCAAAATTTAGACTCTCTGTAGAGCAGTGGATTCCTATCTGGGCTGTACATTGGAATCACCTGGGAGCCTTAAAAAGTACTGATGCCTGGGTCACACCTCAGAGATTCTAATGTAATTGGTCTGGGATGGGGCCAGGGTATAAAGCTCCACGGGTGTTTATAACGTGTAGCCCAGGGTGCTCAGTGTTAGAGGTTAAGCTAAAAGTTCTAATTTTTTATGCTTTCTTCATTATCTTTTCATTAAAATTTTGCCTCCATGTGCCTACTGTATTCCCCTGATAAAACACAGAAGCCTTGCGCTGGCCGGTTAGCTCAGCTGGTTAGAACACAGTCTAATAACCCCTGGGTCACAGGTTCAGATCTCCACATGGCTAGCCGCCATGAAAAACAAACAAGAAATCATGGAGGCCTCTTCTGGCTGGATGGTTGTTTAAAAACAATCCCTAACAGAAAGGTTGAAAACTCAATTTCAAAAGTAGTTNGGATTCCTATCTGGGCTGTACATTGGAATCACCTGGGAGCCTTAAAAAGTACTGATGCCTGTGGTCACACCTCAGAGATTCTAATGTAATTAGTCTGGGATGGGGCCAGGGTATAAAGCTCCACGGGTGTTTATAACGTGTAGCCCAGGGTGCTCAGTGTTAGAGGTTAAGCTAAACTAAAAGTTCTAATTTTTTATTCTTTCTTCATTATCTTTTCATTAAAATTTTGCCTCCATGTGCCTACTGTATTCCCCTGATAAAACACAGAAGCCTTGCGCTGGCCGGTTAGCTCAGTTGGTTAGAACACAGTCTAATAACCCCTGGGTCACAGGTTCAGATCCCCACATGGCTAGCCGCAATGAAAAACAAACAAGAAATCATGGAGGCCTCTTCTGGCGGGATGGTTGTTTAAAAACAATCCCTAACAGAAAGGTTGAAAACTCAATTTCAAAAGTAGTT